GGATACCTTTGAAATTCCTACATGTTGTTATTTTTATCATCTCTTACACCCTTCTATTTTTATAATTAAATGCCTTTTTAAAAAAGGCCTTTTAAAACCAGCAAGGTTCTTGACTTAATTTTTCTTTAATAATTTTTGAGGGCTTTTTAAAATTTTTTTTATGTGAACAAGTCATGATTACCCACGCAGCCACTAATTTTCAGTTCTTTGATCAATTCCTCTGTATCAAGATGAGGTCTATCACAAAATTCCCTGGAGTGAAGAACAATCTTTCTGAGGTAGGAGACTTGTCATCTGTAATGTTTAATAATTCCAGGAGTGTTTCAGCCCTGACAGCAGGAGGCTACAAACAGGTGCCAGTTAAACTGAAGTCCCCCAAGAAAACATTTTTTCTTTACACTTCATAAGCACATGCTGGTCTTTGGTGAGTTTGTCAGTGGTGTGGAAGTGCTGTCACGTGTGAGTTTGGATTTTCTTGCTTTGCTGGTCACTCTTGAAGAGGTTAAAACATGGAAAAGTCATGTCCTGAGTATACAAAGGCATCTACAGGTTGTCAGGCATAGAATCATTGAATGGTTTGGGTTGGAAAGGACCTTAAGGACCATCTTATCCAACCCCCACCACGGGCAGGAACACTTTTTTAATGGCATCCATCCATATGTGGCTATCAAAGCTCCCCTCATGGGAAGAGTTTGAATATTTTGATCACCAAATGCTCTTTGAGGAGCTGGTGGGTGAAATAGCTCAGTCCTGTCAGAAAGGTTGTCACTGATGTACTGAACCAACCCTTTCTGTGAAATTCTTTCCTTTTCTGGTGGTTGTACTAAACTATAATGGAGTTTACATCCTGTCCACCTGGCTGGCTGAAAAGGTCTGGGTTGATTTAGTCATGAAATGCATCAAGTAATTATTAAAATACTTTTAAATTTTAATTCATTAAATAAAAAGTTTGACAGGTTTCTGCAAAGGTTGACCAATATAGTTTCTGGGTTCTCCCAGAAAAAAAAAAACAGCAAGAGAGGCTGGGCTGGGCTGTGATAGTCGAGAGTTCTGACAGATTTAGGAAAGGAAGAAGCTCTCTTGAGACCATAGCTTGAAATTACAGATGGGTGTTCAACCCCTCTAGAGGTTTTTATATTGAGGTTGATGATCCTTATCTTTATTTGGGATTCTGGTGCCTCAGTTTGGTTCATTGCAAACTTGTTTTAGAGAGGATCAAATGACATGGAATTACATACTGAGACTCACTTGACAAATCCAAGTATTTTAAAGAGATTCTAGGTGTCTCATTTTGAGTTATTTAAAAGCTAATTACCATATAGAATTGAAATGACTGTAAGCGTGTATGTTGTAATTTTCATGGAATCACAAAATGGTTTGGATTGGAAGGGATATTAAAGATCATCTAATCCAGCCCCCACTTTCCACGGGCAGGGACACTTTCCACTAGACCAGCTTGCTCCAAGCCCCATCCAACCTTCCCTTGAACACTTCCAGGGGTGGGACATGAATTTAAAATACAGAGATTGACATACACACAAAACTGCATTTTTTTTTTTTACAGATGGAGAAACCTTTGTGTGTGGAGAAGAGCTAGGGAATGAAATGCCTGAAAACTCATCAGGTTTCCTTGCAGGAAATTCAGCTGTCAGACTGTTCAGGTTTTGCAAAGTCTGCCTTGAGTTACCAGGTCCTAGGAGTTCTTCAAGTTTAATTTATCTGTGTTGGCTTCCTTGGCAGGGAGATTCTTCCTCTCAGCTTCACTCTTGTGAGACCCCCTGGGATAATTTATCCAGGTCTGGGGCTCCCAACATAAGAAAGACATGAACTTGTTGATGCAGGTCCGGAGGAGAATATGAAGATGCTCCAAGGGCTGGAGCCCCTCTGCTCAGGAACCAGGCTGGGAGAGCTGGGAATGTCCAGCCTGGAGAAGAGAAGGATCCAGGGAAACCTCAGAACCTCTTCCAGTGATTAAAGGGGCTCCAGGAGAGCTGGAGAGGGACTGGGACAAGGGACGGAGGGACAGGACAAGAGCAAATTACTTCAAACTGAAGTGGGGGAGATTTAGATTGTTAAATTATTAGGTAATTTTTATTTTAATAATAATTTAGATTATTTGGATATTAGAAAGAAATTCTTCCTAATGAGGGTGGTGAGGCCCTGGCATAGGCTTCCCAGTGTCCTGGGGTGACTTTATGATGCTGAGTTGGATCCCCATTTGTCTCTTTAGCCCAGAAATAAGTTCTCCACCTTTCAAACCAAATCAGAGAGCCAAGGGAGGGGGAAGTGGTGGCAGGCAGTTTGTGTGTACCAAGGTTTCATTTTCAGTCCTCTGCATTCCTCAGTCAGTGTGTTCTGTCTGCAGCATGTACAGCAGGAGACAGCTCTCCTTGGCTTTTAGTTTTTTAGCTGGATGAAGCAAAGAAGTTCCATGGATTGTGGCTGCTTTTTTTTTTTTCTTTTTCTTGGAACTAATCAATCTTGCTGTAGGCTGAAAACCCAGAAAAACACCAGGAGCTCACACTTGTGGTCCACCAGGGTCCAGGACGTGGCATTTTCCAGCACAGGAGGGACTGATGAGAGACTGAGTGAGCTGAGCTACACCCCACTAAAAAGACTCTCTCTGAATTTTCCATCTCTTCAGAACAATGAGAAGTTCCATTGTTTAATATTGTTCATTTTTCCATGTTAAAAAATATTTTGCTTTTTAAATAAACAATTTTTTCCACTTTTCCTGAAGGAAGTTTACCCCCCGAACTGGTTAGAAGAGGGGCCACTTGAATTTGCTTTCTAGAAAAGACCACTTCTGAAATTTCCTCCCTGAGGAAAATTTGCCTTGAACCAGGACACTGAGAGAAGCTGTGACTGCATCTGGGTCCCTGGAAGTGTTCAGGGCCAGGCTGGACAGGACTTGGAGCAACCTGGGATAGTGGAAGGTGTCCCTGCCCCTGTCAGGCAGGGCAGGGCTTGATTTCCAACATAACTATCCTATGTTTTTGGAGTTCTGTTGTTTTGTTGTTTGTTGTCTTGTTTGTTTGGGTTTTTTTTTTGGTTTTTGGTTTTGTGGTTTTTTTTGTTTTGGTTTTTTTTTTTTTGCTTTGTTTTGTGGTTTTTGGTTTTTTTTTTTTGGTTTTTGGTTTTTTGTTTGTTTGATTTTTTTTTTGTTTGTTTGTTTTTTGTAATTATTTGTTTGCTTTTTTATTTTGTGGGTTTTGTAGTCTGTCATAACTTTTGAGCCTTTAACTTGAAGAACCATCAGTTGAGCTTGAAGGGTCTTCTATGTATCCATCAGACACTGCTAGCTCATGTTTTTTGGTAATTAAATAAGTGCTGAAGGAAGACTGTGCACACTCTTGCAAACCACTGTCTGTAACACACAAAATATCTTGTTCTTACATTCTCCTTTTGACCAGCATGGAAAGAAACACCTTGAGGGTTTATCTCTGTTCTCTTTATTCCTCTATATTTAAAAATATATACATGACTGGGAAGACAGAATGTAAAAAGGAGTTTTGCCAGGGACTGAACTAAATCACAGAGTAACAATACCAGGGAGGAACACGAGCAGAAGCAGCAAGGGTCAGCCTGCCTTAATGAAATTACACCATTTGAGGTTGTTATTTTAAGAGCTTTTCCATCTCGCTGTACCTGAGCACCAGTCATGCTGTTAAATCTGGGAGGCTGAATTGCTTCAGTGTGCTCTGGGACAATGTCCTGATACAGGAGGGAGGCTGTAATGGTTCAGGTTAACTCATAGCAGCAGCTGCTGTTATGTTTGACAGCTGAAGTGCTGTTCCCTGGGCTCCTCCTTCCCTTGCATGGGGGAATAGCAGGAGCAGTGGGGCTGTGCTGATTATTGCCATGCTTTAAACAGGGGCTGTTGAGTGTCTGGGCATGAACCTGTGTGTGTCCAGGTGGGCAAGCAGACCAAGGGCATCCTGGATTGTATGAAAAATAGTGTGGCCAGAAGGACCAGGGCAGTGATTGTCCATCTGTGCTGGCCACTGGTGGGGCATGTCGAGTGCTGTGTCCAGTGCTGGGCCCCTCATTGCAAGAAAGACATTGAGGAGCTGGAGCATGTCCAGAGAAAGGAATGGGGCTGGAAAAGGATCTAAAGAGTAAATCCTACAAGGAGCAGCTGAGGGAGCTGGGGGGGCTCAGCCTGGAGAAAAGGAGGCTCAGGGGGGACCTTCAGGTGGGTGTTGGTCTCTTCCCGCAGGTAACAAGGAACAGGATGAGAGGAAATGGCCTCAAGCTGCATCAGAGCAGGTTCAGGTTGGACAGCAGAAGGAATTTCTTCGTGGAAAAGGTTGTCCACTATTGGAAGGGGCTGCCCAGGAAAGTGGTGGAGTCCCCATCCCTGGAGGTGTCCAAGAAACACCTGGATGTGGCACTCAGTGCTCTGCTCTGGTTGACAAGGAGGAGATCAGCCAACGATTGGACTTGATGATCCTGGAGGTCTTGTAACCTAAATGATTCTGTGAATTATATTGTTCACAAAGTACTAAGTTAAACTAGCTGCTATTTTTTCCTCCCCGCCCCTTGCTTCTTTTTTTTTTTTTTCTCTGAGTAAGTGATGGTTTTGAACAAGTGCACTTGAATTTGGTTGCCATGGCGTGTGCCTGGAGTCTGGTACAGCTCCTAGAAAGCTCAGGCTTGACTTTGAGAATGGATGTCACAGCTGAGATCCTGGGTAGCTGACTACAGCATCTTCAGCATCTGCCTGAAGCTCTCTGGGAGCAGGATGCTCTCCTGGGGATACAGTGCACTCCAAAACGGGATAAAGGATATCTCGGTGCCTTTCTGAGGAAAGCCAACACGTGGAGACATCTGCATCTCTGTGTGATGCCTTCCTCAAGATAAAGGCCAGGGAAAGCCAGCAAAGCTGGACGAATTTGCTCTGCCATATGCTTGTGGAGGAGTGTTTTTCTGAAGCTTTTATGTATGACTGGTAATCATAGATTGGTTTAGAGAGACATTTCTGAAAGTGTGAAGGGAAAGGAAGGGCAGCGTGGTAATTTGAATTAATTGTAGTGTTTATCAAGTCAACATCCAGTGGAGACCAAATCATTATGTAGTCTCTTATTCTGCTTGTAAAAAGCATAATAACTGAGTAATGAATCCAAGGTCAGATTGAAAAAAGGGATACACCTCCAACATCTAAAACATTTTAATTTCTTATCTCATAATACATGAATGGCTTTGGAAGCAGACCATAGTGGGGTGGGTTTTGCCTGTTTGCTTGTTTTTCCCTTTTAATCTGCAAATAGATATGTGG